TATATATATATATATATATATATATATATATATATTTAGATCATGACATCAGGTCAGCTCCAGTTCTTGATGGGAGTAATAACAGAAGCAACAACCATAAAAACTTTGGAGAACAAAGGCAAACAAACACCACCATGTGTCATCAAGATCTTCTGTTCACATATTTGTAGGGAGTTCTATAGACAAAGTACATTACTTAAGAATGAAACCTACCCAGGGCATCACAGCAACTAAAGAATTATTTCTTACAACTCTAGACTGGGCAAGAGCCACAGTGTAGAACAGCAGTGCTGTTCTCTCTTGTTTGGAGGATGTTATGAAGACAGTTTGATGTTTTTAGGATCGTGATGCATGTTAAATGTAAATTACTAGTAAAAATAATAATATATTTTGCTTCAACATATGGTAACAACTTAGAAGTTGTATATATAGCCATACCATTCTTTAAAGCATAGAACCTAAAAAGTAAAAATATGCCTTTATTAGGATAGTAGAAAGTAACCATAAGATAAAGTTTTAAAAAGGAGAGACAATAGAATTTATATATTTGTATTTGCTTATGAAGTGGTTGCCTATAGGATGCAGGAGAAATGGGACTGATGGGGATGGGGTAGGAGAGAAATTTTTCTATGTATACTGTGAAAGGAAAATAAAATCTCAGGACTCACTAATGGAAAAAATTATACCATTCTGGCATATTAACTATTTAAGTTAATACAGCGCTTGAAAAACAGTAGGTGAAAAAAAGATCACTATGACATTCATGCTAGTTCTTAAGACAAGAAATGAAATTCCTATATAAAAGATGCAACATTCTTACATTCAACATTCTTACAGAGGACAAAAAGTTGAGGCCAAAGGAATTCGTACAAACAAACCTAGTTATACTAACCTTTATCTTCCTGGCTACTTATCTACACAATTAACTATCCTAGCCTAATCCCCTTTGGCTTATCACATTTTCCCAACTTACTATTCTTTGTCCAATTCACTATTCAAGTAATTGACTCTAACAGCATTTTCAATTCTGCATTTCTTTATGAAGACTCCCATGCCACATAAAACTTGTATTCAATAAATGTGTATGCTTTTCTCCTGTTTATCTTCTATCAGTTTAATTCTTGGTCCCAGTCAAGACTCTAAGAAAATGGAGGTAAAGTTTCGCCATCTCTACATTAGTAAAGACTATCAAATTTACAACTAAGATTGATTGATTGATTGATTAAGATAGAGTCTCGCTCTGTAGCCCAGGCTGGAGTGCAGTGGTGCGATCTCAGTTCACTGCAACCTCTGCCTCTCTGGTTCAAGTGATTCTCCTGACTCACCCTCCCGAGTAGCTGGACTACAGGTGCGTGCCACCAAGCCCAGCTAATTTTTTATGTATTTAGTAGAGATGGGGTTTCACCATGTTAGCCAGGACGGTCTCTATCTCCTGACCTCATGATCCACCTGTGTTGGCCTCCCAAAGTGCTGGGATTACAGGCATGAGCCACCGCAACTGGCCCAAGACTTTATTTTAAAACATACCAATTGACCAGGCATGGTGGCTGACGCCTGTAATCCCAGCACTTTGGGAGGCCGAGGCAGGCGGATAACCTCAGGTCAGGAGTTCAAGACCAGCCTGGCCAACATGGTGAAACCCCATCTCTACTAAAAATACAAAATGTGCTAAGGCGTGGTGGTGCATACCTGTAGTTCCAGCTACTTGGGAGGCTGAGGCAGGAGAATCGCTTGAACCCAGGAAGCAGAGGTTGCAGTGAGCCAAAATCACACCACTGCACTCCAGCCTGGGCAACAGAGCAAGACTCTGTCTCAAAAAGAAAAGAAAAGAGCTTACTAATTATATTCTTTAAAAATATGTATATAAATACAGACATATAGACCAATGGAATAAATACAGAGCCAAGAAATAAACTTTAGCGTATATGGTCAAAATATTTTTGGCAAGGGTGCCAAGACTATTCAATGGTCAGGGAAAGGGCAGTCTTTTCAACAAATGCTTCTGGGAAAACTGGATACTCACATGCAAAAGAATGAAGGTGGACCCTTACCTTATGCCATATACAAAAATAACTCAAAATTGATCAAAGACCCAAACATAAGACTTAAAAAAATAAAACTCTTAGAAGAAAACAGAAGGAGCACTTCATTACATTTGATTTGGTGATGATTTCTTGGATATGACACAAAGCCCAGCAACAAAAAGTAAAAACAGATAAATTGGACTCCAAATCAAAAACTTTTGTGCACCAAAGGACACTATCTGCAGATTGAAAAAGCAATCTATGAAATGGAAGAAAACATTTGCAAATCACATCTGATAAGTGCTTATTATCAAGACTATATAAATAACTCCTAAAACTCAACAAAAAATGGCAAAATATTTTTAAATGGGTGAAGAACTTGAACAGACATTTCTCCTAAGAAGATATACAAATGACCAACGAGCACATGAAATAATGCTCAACATTGCTAATGCAGTCATTAGTGGAAATGAAAATCAAAACCACAGCCACATACTACTTTACATGCCTTAGGGTGGCTACTACATTATAAAAGAAAGAAAGAAAATAACAAGTGTTAGCAAGGACATAGAACACTTATACAATGTTGGTAGAAAGGTAAAATGGCACAGCTACTACAGAAAATAGTATGTTGATTCCTAAAAAATTGAAAATACAATGATCATATGATCCAACAATTCTACTTCTAGTATATACCCAAAAGAATTGAAAGCAATGACTCAAACAGATATTTGTATACCCATGTTAATAACAGTATTGTTATTCACAATAGCCAAAAGGCAAAATGGACCTAAATGTCCACTTACAGTACATAAACAAAATGTGGTATATATGTGTGTACACACATGCAATAGAACATTGAGCCTAAAAAAGGAAGTAAATTACGACATGATACACATACATGAACCTTGAATATATTATGCTAAGTGAAATAAGTTAATCACAAAAAGACAAATATTGTATGATTCACCTATATGAGGTATCCAACATAGTCAAATTCATAAAAACAAAAAGTAGAATGGTAGTTGCCAGGGAATGAAGGCAGAGGAAAATTGTGAGTTGCTATTTAATGGGTAGACAGTTCCAGTTTTGCAAGATAAAAAATGTTCTGGAGGTTGGTTGCACAGCAGTGTGAATACACATAGCCTACTAAGCTGTAAACTTAAAATGGGTAAGATGGTAAATAATATGTGTATTTATCACAATTTTTAGAAATATGTATGTAACATGTAGTTTTACCTTAATATGACTTTGAAGGCTCTGAAATTCACTGAGATCTGCTATCTCCTAAAATAACTCCAAGAAAGCTGACTTTCAGAAGTAGCAAGATTTTGTTAAGAATAGTTCTGCCGGGCGCGCTGGCTCACGCCTGTAATCCCAGCACTTTGGGAGGCCAAGGCAGGTGGATCACGAGGTCAAGAGATCGAGACCATCCTGGTCAACATGGTGAAACCCCGTCTCTACTAAAAATACAAAAAATTAGCTGGGCATCGTGGTGCGTGCCTGT